CTGGCAGAGTGGTGCCAACCAATTTAATCCCAACATTTCTTAGGCACTTTGTGCCAGGTGCAGAGGACATCAAGATGAACCAGAGAAGGAAAAGCTGATCTCAACAGCTTGGACTCAAGAGAACACAGGCCCTGATAGAAACAGTGCCTTTAAGAGCAGGGTTTTAGATGAGATAGGTATGAAGATGTCTGGAAACACATAGGCAGGGGAGAAAGCAAAATCCAAAGCAATGAGGCACAAATTTGAGCTGGGAGATGTGAGCCAGACCGTGGGAAAGGCAGCCTGGACAGAGTGTTAAGCCAAGACACAGAAGAGGGAAAGCTAAACATGAGTTAAGTTTGGAGGACGCTGCACCTTCTAGTGTGGCTAGAATAGAATGTGCATGGGAGGGGTGGCTGCAGCTTGGCTGCCACATGAAGGAGTTTGGACCTTACAGGTATCTCGAAAGCACTAGAAGTAGTTCGACCAAGTGACAGGATCAGGTCTGTTCTTAACACAGTTATTCTAGGGATAACGTCAAGAAATATACAGGGTGGGGAAGATGTGAAGAGACTGTGAAGGGATCGTATTAGTTCATTACTAGCTGCCCTCGTTTCTGTGGTGTGAAACTAAAAATGACAAGTGTCTCAGAGGCAAAATTTGAGAACCTAGACCCCTGGGGTGGTAGAAAGGATGCCATGGCCAATCAATGAAATGTGGTAGAGGAAATCAAGGACCATGCCCAGCGTTCACGGATATTCAAAACATGTACATGAAATGACTGGTACCAAACTACACTGTCTTGGACAATGACCTAGTAGACTTCCCATCTCCCCCCACAACATGGGCAGTAGGAAGAAACATGCCCAGCCTATTTGTCAGTATTATCTGGTGACAAATTAAGCAACAAATGAACAAACTGACAAAGTAACAAAAATGAACAAATTCACGTCAACACTAGGGAGGGATAGCAGCTTGCATCTGTCGCTGGTAGGAAGGTTTAGAAGAAAGTACCTGCTTTATAAAACCACGGCGCGGGACAAAAACTGCCAAAAGCATTCTGCAATATAGAAATCAGAAAACTGACAATTCAAAAAGGGGGGCAGGGGAGAAAAAGAAAAGGCACAATTATTTCAGCAGTTGATAGTCTGAAAAACCCTTACAGGGGCATCTTTAAATGTATTTCTATCATGAAATTCAGTATACACTCAATTACATTATTCAGTACCAGGTATGGAATTTAGGGGAGCCATTCATGCTAAAATGCAAACGCAGTGAGGAAGCTGTGGAGCCCAAGGGTAGCTCACCAGCAAGTGACAGTCGTCAGCATCACTGTGATCCCCCGGCTGACTTTTCAGAGCCATCTGATACAGCTTACCTGCTTCCAAAAGTACCAAAGTGTACCTATAGATATGCCAGCGATGCCAAAGAAATACTAATAGCAAGAAGTCCTCCCCTCCACTGTTTCTACCAGTGCTCCCAGTTACCTTGAGTCCAATTACAAGGTCTTCCCACCATTTCCAAAGTGGTGGTCAGACACCTAAATTTAGTCCACTCAAACCAGGGCTACACAAGAACATTTAGATCTAATGGGTCACTCAAGATGACTAGAACTTCCCAATCTCTCCATGTCATTTCCGTTTGTCATTTTTTTTTCTTTTTAGTGAAGTGAGTCATAGTGTATAGATCTTTCTCCTCTGCACAAAATAGTTTCTCTCTGAAGAGAATGGTACTGATATAAAAATTACAACGAAATTTTAACATTCATCTTCTTGGACTGTTAACAATGTAAGCTGTACACAGCAGCAAGGAATTTGGGTGAACTACTGTTATAGCATGGTTTAACCTAGTCAGGCATTTGATCGGATTTCATAATGAAAGCAGCTATAAAAACAAATGTCAATTGGAAGAGCGGCCCACTTTACAAAGCCTGCCTCTAACATGGAATAAATCTTGACTTCAAGTCACGAGCTATTGTTGCAATCGTCTTTATCTGAAACAATCACATCATTCACACTGAGAAATAGTGAACAGTGTCAGAGAATCGAAGAACTGGAGATGAGACCAACAGCAAAACACCTGACCCAAACCTTAAACTACAAACAGAGGGCAGCTCATTAGCTATTTTCATTCATTCCAGCCCTCTCCTCTTTCATTCCAGCCCTGGAAAACCAATCCCTTTCCCGTGTCTGCCATCTCTCCCCTCTTCTGGACAACCAGACCAACTCAAACTCCAGGCTCACTAAGTATGACTTCCACTTTTCAAAACAGGCACACAATCACTTAAATGACAGAAAACAACTTTTAAAGCCATCTACATATGCTAGTACAGCTGACTTTTTATATATCTAAATGCTGATTAGTATCTATGCGCTTAACAATTAAAAACACAGTTATGCTCACTTTCTCAAGTTAGGCTAGCACAGAATCTTTGCCAGAAACATTTGTTTCCTAAGCTACCACATTCCTCGGCATTCAAGCCTAATTCACCCTTTGTTCTCCCAATTGTTTCCAAGCTTTTCCATCTTTTTGTTTTAGTTAGGAAAGAAGTATAGTGAGAAATAACCGCAGTCTCATTTACAAAGTTGTAAGCCAAAATTACCTATTATTTTTAAAATCACAACAGACTGCACAAGCTCAAAATGACTTTGTAGAGGGCTGCCCTCACTGTGACATGCTATAAAATATTAATTTTTTTACTTCCATTTCCTACCAATGATGAACACATTTCTTTGAATTTTTGAAAAATAATGGTTTTGGGAAATTGACACACACTTCGGGAAATTTGCCACTTTAGACTCAAAGTCATTTGAACTCTACGTTTTTAAAAATGCCCTGGTTGCCCAATAAAGAGCCACTGTTAAACTCAAAAAGGAAAGGAGACTCTGATTTCAATTTTAGAAAAGAAAAATATCTGTATAGTATAGGTGAGAAAGCCGATAGTGGACAATTCTCTAAAATAAAAAGGAACCTGACTTCCAGGAACATCCAATCCACCAAGAAGCTGGGAAAATCTTGACACACTGCAGTGTGGCTAACTCCTGGCATTCAAATGTGGTAGCCACACGTAAGAATGGTGAGGGAAATTAACTGAGAACCAACATGCTTCATGATGGGGGCGTGCATAACATGGTTTTAACAATGCTTGGATGATAAGTTCCCCACTCTGCCCTAAAACAGTAAGAAATAAAATTCAACCAAGAACTGTTTTTTTCCCCCCCAAGAACTTTTCATAATATGAATTTGCTGCTGCCAACTTAGTTTCAGTACGAAAGATCTTCCCCAGTGCTTCCTAGAGGCCATCTCCACTTGTGATGGGATATATTCTAATCAATACTTCAAACCAACGGTTTTTTCATTTAAAGCCACTTGAGACTCTACTGCATTAGATTTGATGTAGAAAATCTGTCTACACATTCTTAAAATTACTAGTGGAATTCATTCAATTAACTCAGAGATGAGACAATACAAATTTCATATATTGATTCAGCACAGTTATACAGATTACAGTGGTTAAAAATACTAGTCTATTAGAAGTTAATATCCATTACAGTCCTAGTAAGAATCCTGTCAAATAAGTTTGATGCAAATCCACATGAAGCCAGGCCTGCCGAAAAAAGGCTTTTGTTAGTCAAGCATACCAAAGAACTGCTTAAAGCTTTTTTCCTTTTTAAGTGGAGCTCAAAATAGATTTTAATACGACCAGCTGATGGATCTCACAATTTGCCTTTTGAGCCTATAAGCTGAAAACAGAGTAAAATGCATTCTCCCTTCACACAAGTAACAAAAATCTCCCTATTCTGTCCATCGCCTATTTAAGATACTGAGTGTGGTTTTGGTTAATCCTCACAACCCCCGCAATGACATTTAATCAGGAGCTCATATTTTCTTTAGAGGATTTAGCTGCTTATGAAAGCAGACCTTCTCGTGTTGTTAATCTGATGCTGCAGACTGGTGAGAAACCCTACCTTCCTAACTTTTGTTTTATTTATGAACCACGTAACCCACAAGGAGACGAAGACTGGGAGGACTCGATTATCTCAGCCAGGACAAAAAGGGTAAGATGCTCCCTGGGGAGAGAAGCTGTTTTAGAGAGGGGCAAAAAAAAAAAAAAAAAAAAAAAAAAGTTAACCTTCCCGGTTTCCTGCCCGGAAGGGTACTGTTTTGGCCCCAGAGCAGTGGGTTTTGCAGGTCTTCTGGCTGAAAGGCACTTTGGTCCGAGCATCTCAGGGCTCGCCCCTGCTGCCCATTCAGCACACAGAGCAGAAGTCTCTTCCTCTGACAGATCCTCCCTGGCCCCCCTTGAGGTGGTCCACCTTCCAGGCAGTGACTCTACCCCGTTATGGTGTTTTGTTTTCCTCACCGCATCTGTCACAATCTGAAATGATTTGCTCATGTGTTTGCCCTATTCGACTCCAAGCTCCGCGAGGCATAGGGTCTTGTCTGTCTTGTTCTGCAAACACTACTTCCAGCGCCATGCCCAGCACGGAACAGGCAGGCCGATTCATGTTCACTAAATGAATGAACAGGAAGGGGGGAGAGGACTGTCATCCTTGGGACTTGACACACACTGCGACGAGGGGAAAGGAAATGTGAAGGAGGGAGGGGGGAGTCACCCTTTCCCCCCAGGGAGACAAAGGAAGAGAGTCTGAGGTGGTCCAGGCTAGAAAAGGAAGTAGTGGGGGTGTTCCATCAACCCCAGGGGACAAAGAGTGGATAAGCAGGGGGGCGGGGTCAGGGTGCGAGGGATTAGCGCTGAGAACCCCGACCCGCGGCCTCCGGCCTTGAGGATATAAGGTGGGTGGGGGATCAAAGGGGTTTGAGAGGCCCGGGAGAGACGCAGGCCCACCGGGGGGACAAAGAGAGAGGAGGCCCGCCTCTGCCGCCGTCGGATCGAATCCTCACGCAGCAGGGCCGAGGCGGAGGGCGAGACCCAGAGGGAGGGCCGGGCCTGGGGATCTGAGGGAAAGGTTCACGCGGCCTAAGAGAGGGGCCTGCCGCGCTCCGGGGCGCTACCCCACCTGGTAAATGGCCGCCCAGCTCCCGGCCTTGTCGATCTGCTCGAACTCCTTTTCCATCTCCATGACGGCCCAGGGCGGCTACTGCGCCTCCTCCTGGGCCCAGTGCACTGCCTGCCGCTCTAGGCCGCGCCGCGCTCTCGGCTCTTCAGCACCTCTGCAAGCCTCTACTCCCGCCGCTACTGCCGCCCTAGCCGCCGCTGCTTCTTCATGTCAACCCGGCAGCCGGAAGTACGCACCGCGCTGCCTCAGGCTCCGCCCCCCGCGTGAGAGAACCAATCAACATTCGAAAATGTGGGCAATAACTTCCGTGGGGCGGAGCCGGGGGGAGGCGCTGGGGGAAGTGGCCTCAGCCCGGCGAGACGTCAAGCGGCGTGCGCTCTCTCCTCCCCACGCGGGGCTCGGGGCTTGGGCGTGGCCCACGCCGGTTGCCTGGGCGACCCTGGGAGCCCCGCCCACGGAGCGTGGGTTTGCAAGACCGGGTGGGTCTGGGGTTCAAGCCTCGACACAGCCAGTTGAGTTACAGAGTGACCTTGAAGTTACCATGGATCTGTCCTGCCGCGCCGGCGACCTGGCCTCAGTGCTGCTAGCTGGAGTATGGGCCGAGGGCTGCATGCCTTCTCCTCAGGCCAAATGTCCGCCCCTTTTTCTTTTTCGAGGGTACTGTCCTTGTCTGAGACGCAAGATTTCTGTTTGAGGTCTCCTATCCTGGGCACTGCAAGAATGAATGGATTGGGGTCTTGGAATGATTTTCAGTATTTCTCAAAGTAGCAAGGAAATCCTGCTCAGACTGGACTCAGTGGAACACAAATTACGCAGTACATTCATGTATTAAATAATGCAGATTTCTAGAAACACCTTAAAAGGATTCAGATACCAGGAATCTGTATTTTTCACCAGCAACTCCAGCTGTTATACCTGTGGTCCTTCAAGCACATGTGAGAAAGGCTGGTCAGGTTGCCTTCCTCTGTGGGTCCTACTGTAAGCCATCCATTTCTGGGCCTGGCACATTATATGGAAATTGTGAGCTCCATGGGGTCAGAGGACCTAGAGAACCGAATCATCTCTCTTTCATTGTTCCCATCTCAAGCCTGCCTAGAGAGGCTGCCTGATGGCACTGGTTGAATCCCAGATCATCCCTTGACGGCTTGTGGCAGGCACTGTGCCTGGCATTCCAAGTACACGTTCTCATTTAATTTCTATAACAACCCTACAATATAGGCACTATTATTATTCCCATTTTATAGATGAGGAAACTGAGGCACAGAGAAGCAAAATCACTTGTCCTCAGTAGCATTGCACATTGGCACAGAAGCCAAGATTCTCACCAAGTCTGCAGGGGAGTGCTTGCTCAAAGAGCCGGGCGGCCAAGGTCCAAATTCCAGCTCTACTAAATAGCTAACTCACAACTTTGAGCAAGTTGTCTAACCTCTCTCTGCTTTTGTTCCCTCTTTTGTAAAACGAGGACCGTAAAAGTACCCACCTCATAGAGATGTGTGAAGATTGAGTGATTTATATATATTGCTATAGATCTTGCTTTTAGTATAGTGAGTGGATGGATCAGCACGTAATTAGACCACGTTATTATATACTTTCAAATAATAACAAATAGGGAGGTAAATGAGTGATAATTGAATAACAATTGGTTTGATAACCAATGTCTTTATTATTTTAAGGTTTTATTTATTTATCAGAGAGAGAGAGAGAGAGAGCACAAGCAGGGGGAGTGGCAGGCAGAGGGAAAAGCAGGTTCCCTGCGAAGCGGGGAGCGTGGTGCAGGACTCCATCCTAGCACGCTGGGATCATAACCTCAGCCAAACACAGACGCTTAACAGACTGAGCCACCCAAGCATCCTAGCCAATGTTTTTAGAAACTCAGTATTCTGTGGGGGGAAATTAACCAAAGATGCCCATTCTGGTGAAAAGTTTGGAAACCACTACACTTGGCTAAATGGCTAAATCTTAGCGATTTAGGTGACTCTCCAGTCTCCTGCTCTCTTCCTGCCTTTATTTCTTTGAGTGTAGTTTGTGTGGAGCTCACAGAACTGAGAGCTCCTTGGAGGAACAGAGACCAGGGCTGGTTCATTCCTGTCCTCCTGAACTGAGCGAAGTAGGTAAACAAATCAAGTACCTATCTGGAGTGCAGGTGGACCCCATGCCTGCAAGGAGTGACACTTGGTGACTGGAATGGCCTCAGAGTGGCTCCAAAGCTAGGTACAGGTTCCTGGGGCCAGTGAGAGGACAGCTAAAGCAGGGTCCGAGTTTGGGCTCTTTCATGGCTGTATTGATATCCTAGAGCTGCCGTAACAAATGTTCACCAATGTGGTGGGTTAAAACAACAGAAATGTATGTTCACACAGTTGTGGAGGCCAGAAGTCTGAAATCGAGGTGCATGAAGCAGAGCCGTGTTCCTTCTGAACGCTCTAGGGGAGAATCTTCCTTGCCTCTTGCAACTCTTGGTGGCTGCAATCATCCCATGGCTTGTGGCATATCATTCCAGTCTCTGTCTTCTTGAGCACCGTTGCAAGGAAATCCTGCTCATTACCTGGTTTTCTTCTCTGTATCTTCTCTTCCTCTGTCTAATCTCCCTCTGCCTCACTCCTAAAAGGATGCCTGTCACTGGATTTAGGACCTATCCTAATCCAGAATGATTTGGCAATCCCAGATAATCCAAGACGAACTCATTTTGAGATCCTTAAATTAATTGTATCTGCCAAGCCCCTTTTTCTGAAAAAGATCATATTCTAGATTCTGGGGTTTAGGACTTGGACATACTCTTTTGGGAGGCCCCACTCAATCTATTACCATGGTAAAGGGTAAAACTGGTCACAAATGTCGATCCTGAATAAAATCCCTAATTTCAGGTGTCTGCTAATCCCATTACAACCATTCTTCACAGAGCAATAGAATTTTTAATATTTGGATCATGAAACTCTAATACATAAAACCCTCCCATAGTTTCCCATCCCTCTTGGAATAAAACCTAAATAAATCCTAACCCTGGGCCACAAGACCCAGGCTTCTCTCTTCTGCCCACCTCCCCAGCTTCTTCCCTCTTCTCGTACTCCGCTCCAGACCAGTTCTTAATACAGCGAACTAGTTTCCACCTCAGGACCTTTGCACCAGCTGTTAACTTCTGCCTGGACCACACTTCTTGCAGATCTCACCATTCAGGTCTCAGGTCAAATGTCACCTCTGTAAACAGGCCTTTTTTGACCACTTTCCAACTCAGAACAGAGCTTGTTTTGGGAACCATGGCATTCACCTCCGTCTAAAATTCCCCTGTTTGTTTATTTGTTGGCTTGCTTCCCTCTCCTGCCCTCCACTCTAATGTTCTGTGGGGGCAGGGACCTTGATTTCCTGTCTGTGTCCCAAGCATCTTATACTAGGTCAGGAGGGGGGACCCAAGGCCTTCCGTGGCTCTCTGCAGCTTGCTTTTCATCTGTAAAGCTCTGCCAGTTCCTGCCAAGGCCTGGCGGAGAACCAGCCAAGTTCTGCAATTCCTTGGAGATTTGATGGTGATGATTGGTACTCTTTTAGCGATGACTGTTTAGAAAATAAATAAATGACCATATGTCATGATAGCTAAAACCTTTTCCCGGCAGGCATGCCTGAGGAATGGGCTCATGCAGTTTACTGGGCCTTTCCCTCGTGGATTTAGCTAATGAAGGAAATCAGTGACCCATTAAACTTTTTAAAAAGTCCTAAAGAGCTGTCAGTGGAGAAGGATGGCTGTTTACCAAGCCTCCAACAGATCATCTGCTCCTAACTTAGCCGTGTCAGCTAGTTTCCTGGTAAAAATCTGTCCTGGTCCTTTTCCTGGGAGATAGCCCAAGGTAAGAGGTTGGGATCCAGAGTGAGACCAAATTGGTCTCTGATGAAATGTCACTTCCTCAGAGAGGCTCTCTCTGATGTCTTCTAATAAATGGAATCGCATCACCCTATCCCTTTTCCCTCTTAGCCCTTACCAGGCATTTAAGGACTTATTTTCTCCCATCTGTTAACACGTGGTGTTATGTTCTATATTTGTTTTATGTGTCTATCATCCATCTCCACCACAAATACAAATACCATAAAAGAAAAGAGACTAAGTGGATTTGGTTCAATGCTGTCTTCCTTGAGCGACAAGTCATTCCCACATGAGCACTGGAGTCCTCGGTAGGTTCCAGAAACCAAGATAACAGGGCTTCTTACTACCCCCCAGACCCAGAGCTCAGGGTCATCCAGCTCCCTTTGTCCACCAGTAACGACACATGGCCAGGAAAGGAAGTGGCCCTGTTGTCTGAGAATCCCACGTGCTCTCCTAACATAGTCTGGCACCTTGACTGGATGGCTTGCTGGTTTGGGGTGAGCCAAAGAGGTCCTTGAGATGGAATAACTAACTGCGGACAAAGCCAAGCCCACAGCGCTGGAGACTGAGAGCATAGTGTTTCAGTCTCCAGCCACAGACTGCACTGGGGTCCTGCACTTTATACTTCCTAACAGCCCTGCAAGCCTCGCATGACCCCATTTCGCAGGTGAGGAAATGGCTGTTCAGAGAGCACAAAGAGGTAAAATCACTGAATACCCAATATAGAATGCTGGCTTGGGCACAGTGCATAGGAAGCTTTTAAACCTTGCATCTGCTACTTACTTGCTTTTGGGCCTTGGGCAAGTTGCTTCACCCCCTGGTGTCAGGCTGGATGCTTTCCAGTGAGAAAAAACCCAACCGAAAGTGGCTTTCACAAAATGGGGAATTTACTGGCTCATGAAACTGGGAAGTCCAAAAGGGCTTGCTTCAGGCACAGCTGCATCCAGGAGCTCAAACAATCCTGTCATGACTCTCTCCAGCTCTGTTATCTACTGCCCCTGTGTTAGCTTCAGACTCATGTAGGCTTTCCTCCTGAGGTCACCAGGATGGCCCCAGCAGCTTCAGGCAGACATCCTGCCAGCCCAGCAACCCTAAAGGAAAGAGTCCTTCTTTTCCTTGCTGGTCTCAGCAAAAGTCCTAGCCTTGAAAATCCCATTGGCCAACTGAGTCTCACATCTCTACACCAATCTCTCTATCCAAGAGAAATATTGGCAAATGACGAGACAGGCCCAGAGAGGTCAGCTTCTTAACCAAGGTCACACAGCTATAAGTAGCAAAGTGGGATTTCAATATAGGTAGTCTGGTTTCAGCAACTGTATTCTCGGTCATGATTCTATATGGTCTCTCCAAGAGCTCCCATGAGCACTATAC